GCCATCCAGAAAAAGTGGTTTTCGCCATCTTGGGAATCTACTTTTGTGCCTTTTGCACTCTCTGCTCTGTCGGTTTTGAGGCTATTTTTATGAATAATGCAGAATTTATGTTATCTTCGGCACATCCTGGCATTTTTATCGGTGGAGCAGATTCTGTAACATCAAAATTTTTAACACATTTGGCGCGTAGATCTGTACATCCATCCGGTGAATAATTCAGCACATTCTCATAGCTTTTCTTCGAATCGTTGTTGTTCCTTGCTTTGGTTAAAACTGTATTGTCAGTCTCCTGGCACTCCTGATGTTCGGTTTGTCTCTTGAACGGATTACCCACTCAGCGTTTTCTCCAGCAAGAACATTTAGCAGGGGCTTTAGCCGGTTCGAAATGTCCTCGGTATTCGTTGTGCACTGTTTTGAACATCACTTTGTTGTTATTTGTTAAGAAATAAATTTTAAGCAAATTTCTTTGTGAAGCAAGTTCGCTGCAGATAACAATGAATGCATGCATCGTATTCTCCCTTCTTTATGCATTTTTGCGCATTTATGCAAATCCAGTAATTAGCCAACGCACGAGCTGACCGTGTGAAGATGCGTTTTTTGCATAGTTCCCCGCAGATTTTTGTCGCTAACGGCACTTTTTTTCCGGCAGGTGCTTCTAGCTAAAAGAATCTCAGACTAGCTGCCAGGACTGTCAAGAAACATCCCTTTAAAATTCCAGTCTTCTTGCTTCTCAGGTTCCCGAGTTAGCAACTTACTTGAGAAAAACTTCCACGGGTCCGTACGTGGGCACCACGCATTCCCGAGGGCTGGGTTGCAGCTCATTAACATCTACATAGATGGGGGACGTCATCTTAAAATTCCAGTTCTCGAGCTTCTCAAGCTTCTGAGTTAGCAAATTACCCGAGAAAAACTCTGGTGGGCCCGTACGTGGGTACCACGTATACCCAGGGGCTGAGTTTGAGCTCACTGACACTTACGTGGACGGGGAACATCGCGTTAAAATTTCAGCTTTCTAGCTTTTCTGGTTCTCGAGTTAGCGACTTTCCCGCAAAGAACTTTCAGGGACCGGTGCGTGGGTACCACACGGGTAAGAGCGCCCATTTTGGGAATTGAGGCGCATACTTCCATGTATGTTAAGTTCTCAAAGTTCCAGCCCTGCAGCTTTTGTAGGTAATGGGATGAAAAACCGTGATAGATGCACACACGGACACGCAGACGCACAGACAACCCCTCGTCAATATGCTTTTTCTGCATTGCGTAGCTGCAAAAAACGCATAAAAACACATATTGGCGAGGGGCTGTCGATGTGTGTGTGTGTATATGTATGTATGTATGTATGTATGTATGTATGTATGTATGTATGTATGTATGTTCGTACTTTTGTCACCTGCTCAGCAATCAGTGAAACTAGGAAGCTGAAATTTCTGGATCCTGTTTCAAGGCCGTGTGCAATGTTCTGTTTTAAAAAATCATCGCTTACTATTTTAAGCTTCGGAGATGCGAATTCGCAATTGTTGCTGAGATGCCAACCAATGCTGAGCAGATTCCTCGGGTTTTGCGAGAATATTTGCTGCCTTTGTACACGGGAAATGAGCATTAGTGTATTCCTATAACAAGCCTGTAGAAATAACAATTTTTGGCTGGAAAGCCACTTTGGAAGTCAGCTAAGTTAGGAAATAATAGACCAACAGGATTGTACGCAAGCCATGTGTATAGTGTTATTTTATGGTGCAAAGTGCCTTTATCTTCTAGATGTAGTGGGGTGATATTTTTCAATGTAATGTCTGTTTCATCCCTTAGCTGTAAACACAGACCGGACTATGCAAGCGGGCAGGAGTGGGAATCGTTAGTACAGTGAAACTTAAATTTTCTGGGGATATGACGGTGTATTCGGACCCAAGCGTTCTCGTCACAGCACGAAATTGTACAAAAATGCATAATCGCACTGGTAATTGCGCTGCGCGCCACATTTTAACAAATTTTTTATAAAACTTCAAATGCTGCACTTTTCAGTGCTCATGGGAAATGGCATCAAGGAAGCCGGTCACATGTGCAGGTTGGCTGCTTACCTAACAACCCGAACATCACGGTCTGTGTTTCCTAAGATTTTAAACTTTTTATTTAGTTTCTGTAGTATGTGAGTGTATTAACCCGTTAAGTGAGCAATAAAGGTGCAAAAAAGATAAATAGCAGCACGCACCAGACTAGCCAGTGCGATCATGCGTTTTGTGCAATTCAGCCCATCGAACGATTGCCTATTAATGATTTTCACTGCTTTGTATACTTTAATCTATGCAAAAATAGCTCAAACATTGGAACAGCGCATGAAAGCTGAATTCGAAACCTTGAAGGGTAAATATCTTTATCCCGAGTTAATAGTTTACCCGCCAAAATTTTTACGAGGCCGTAGGTGGTACTCAAGAGGCAAGGTCGAAGGTGAGCTGGGAGTTATTACCCTAAAATTTCAGCTTCTTAGACTCTGTGGCCCCGAGATAATAATTTACCCGCGAAAACTTTCACTACCCCGTAGGTGATACCCGAGAGCGCGGGAACACTGAATTTGAATGGGCAAGGTTGAGCGTGAGCAGGGGGGTCATTATCCTGAAATTTCAGCCTCCTAGATTCCGTGGTTCCCGAGATATTAATTTACCCCGTAAAAAACTTTCACGGGGCCGTACGTGTTACCCGCGGATACGGGAAGGCTGAGTTTGAATTTGCGGAGTCACACATGGGTGGGGAACGTTCCCCTAAATTTTCAGCTTCCTAGTTTTTGAGTTGCGGACAAGTTGCTGCGGACACACACACAGACAACCCCGCGACAATATGCGTTTTGTACTGCCGTTACACAGCACAAAACGCATAAAAAAGGTGGCAGGGAGGTTGGGGAGGGGGAGGGCGGAAGGGCGAAAAGGGGGAAGGGTTCAAAAATTGGACCCTGGGATTTGTTCTTTCAGAGGAAGATGATGTTTTGCTCCTTTTTCGAAAATTAATTTTCCAAAGGTTTTCTAGGATTTAGAAATTTTAGCTTTTAACATGTGTTACATTTTTATGCGTTTTGTGCTGTGTAACAGCAGTACAAAACGCATGTTGTTACGGGGTTGTCTGTGTGTGTGTTTGTGTGTGTGTGTCCGCAGCAACTTGTCCGCAACTTTCAACTCGGGAACCACAAAAAAGCTAGGAAGCGCTGAATAGGGTAACGTTTCCCACCCACGTGTGACCCCACAAATTTAAATTCAGCTTCCCCGTACCCACGGGTAACGTGTACGGCCCAACGTTCCCCACCCACGTGTGACCCCGCAAATTTACATTCAGCTTCCCCGTACCCGCGGGTAACGCGTAGGGCCCTGTGAAAGTTTTTTACGGGTAAGTTAATATCTCGGGAACCTCGGAGTCTAGGAGGCTGAAGTTTTAAAGTAATGACCCCCTGCCCACCCTCAACCTTGCTCATTCAAATTCAGCCTTCCCTTACCCGCGAGTAA